TTTTTTTTTTTTTTTTAATTGAGAATGTGAAATGGGAAAAACAATGAAAGGGGTGTAAATATATAGAAGATTTTGGCCACATCATATTAAAGTTTGTATTCAATACCAACAGGGTTCACTACAAAATAATTGTTATATTCCAACGGAAAATCTTATGACAATATATTTCAATAGAAATTTCAACGGATATTCTAATGATATAGATTCCGTTGGAATAGTTCCAACGGAAATTCCAACAGAAATATTTCGTTGGAATGTGTTTTTCATTAGAATTTTTGATGGAATTTGATGATTCCAACGGCTATATTTCCAACGGCGTTTTACCGTAGAAATTTCCGTTGGAATATGCAAATTCCGTTGGAATTTTTATTTCCACCCCCGTTGGAATATCTACCGTTTGGAATCGTCAAAATCCGACGGAAATTCCAATGGAAAACTCATTCCAACGGAATATTTTCGTTGGAATTTCCGTTGGAATCCATTGAAAAATTCCAACGGAAAATATTAGTATTGAAATATCCGTTGGAATTGCCGTTGGTATAATTCTTTTGAAATAGATTTCCGTTGGAATTTAATCAATTTCTTGTAGTGGTTGGCTCAAGTGGTAAGCAGCTTGATGTCGCTTAAGTAAGGTTTCGGCCTGGCCCGTTTGGTCTGCAGCCTCAAATGTTGAACCCGGAACCGGCCCGGCTACACCTAAAGATTATAGGCGGTTCAGGTTTAAAATAAAAAAACAACTACGACCCGTCTTTTGACTCGAGATCGACCAAACCTGGCGGATAAAAAATAAAAATAAAACACGACCCTGAATCGGCCCTTAAAGGATTTCGTGCCGGTTCCTGGCCGATTTACCGACTAATTCGACCCCTGACCATGTCTAGAAGTTGGGTTAGAGGGAGGCTACATGGTACCGCGAGGATTGGCTGTCTTTAACATTACTGGAAAAGGAATTAATAATCATTAAGATGTTAATTAAACTAAGGGCTTAGGACTTTTCAAATTTTATTTGTTCGGTTTATGGAGTTTACCAAGTCATGAGATGAGAATTATATTAAATTCTCCATTCACAAATAAGCATAAATTTAAGTTCCATTTTTCTAAATTATTTGTTGCATAAGAAATTCTTGTGGTTATATAATAGTATATAAAAATCTTAAACTTGAAAAGTAACATATAAACTATCCCCCCTCTATTTTCAAAATAAATATTTTGCAATAGAAAAATAAGGTTTATTAACAATTCATGTGTTTGAACTTTGAATAATAGTACAATTGAATGCGAAAAGTCTAACCTAAACGATATGTAATATTTAAAATGTAACGGAGATATATAGTTCATGATTTTGTGTAAATTATTAAATAAAAACAATTTAATAACATTTTTTGACTTATTATTATTATTGTATTTATAATTCAATAAAACAAAATAACACGAAAACATGATATTGAAGCACAAACACAATACAATAACACGTAAATATGACTTAGTGATTTATTTTTTCCCCTATAAAACGATACTTAATAAAAAATAATCAAAAGTATCAAACTTTGATTTCAAATCATGTGGACTAAAAGCAACTTGATTTGTACAATGGCTCACATAATTCTTATATAGACTTCTATATAGACAAACTAATCTTCCAAAATGTGGACTAAAAACGATACTTAATATAGACTAAAAACGATACTTAATATAGACTTCTATACTTATATAAAAAATCTTATCTACAATGGCTCACATAATTCTAACACAAGACTCATGAGATGACGTTTATGATTGGAACAGACAAACTAATCTTCCAAAATGCAACTTGATTTGTACTTGTCAAAATAATATAAAGGGTATAGAATTAATTATAAATCAAAACAACTAAACAATAATAATTAAGAGGCCATAATTGAATAGCATATAAAAGGCTTTATTAAAAAGGGTAGAGAAAATTATTCCAAATCTTTAACCATAGACAATTAGTAAAAGAAAGAGAAGTGCATTCATTAATGTTTGATAAAGGAAGCACCATAATCGTGTTGTTAAATTAAACGAGTTCGGCTCGAGTTCGGTTCAAATGAACCGAACTCGAGCTCATTTAAAGTTCGTTTGGTTAATAACGAGCTGAACTCGGTTTGGCTCGATAAGAGAAATTTTATATAATTTTATGTAGTTTGACTTGTTAAGATTCGAACTCGACTCGTTATCAGTGATAAGCAAGCCGAACTCAAAGTCGATTTCAGGCTCGTTTATTTAATGACCGAACTCAGCTCGACTCGGCTCATTAAAAAGTCGAACTCGACTCGACTCGACTCGATTCTTTTAGAGGCACCACACATTGAAAAAAAAAATGTTAAAATGAGTTATATATGTAGTGTGTTAATAGGATTTGAAATGTGGGCGTGCTGCGTGTGATGTCCGTTGGCGGGGCAACAGCCCACGCCCTACAATCATTTTCCTTATCATGTCCATTGACCCTTTTCTCATGCTATAATATATATATAATTTTTTTTTTTCTTTTACATCTATTATTTGAATAAATTGATAAATATTTAATATTTTAGGCTATTAACCAAAATTTATCTATTGAAATTTGAACTTCCATTAGGTTTACCTTGTTAGAATATTCGTCTTGCAACCTTTCGAATGACACCTCCTAATCGGAAATCGGATATCTTGATTATCAAAAAAATTAAACAAAAGTTTTTTTCTATACACACTTGCGCCTACCTTCTTTCTCAATGGATTACCTTCATACCAATTCAGAAATCGAAATGCAATATCTCATTTTGTTCGTCTCGCCATGCGTTTCAAAAGCACTAAACCAATCTTAAAAATCAATTCATGATTTATCATAGCAACGGGTTTAAAAACTTTCTTTTGTCATATTAGGTTTTGTAATAGACGAGACAAATTTTCAGTTTTGCGTACTTTGGGAGCCAATTTGTCAATGAAAAATGTTGATAAGGCAAAGTCAAAAAGCACACATGTTCAAGTTTATGCTGCTTGAGCTCGAGTTATTAACGAGAGCTAAGCTCGTCTTGCTAACTTAGAGATATTATAATCGAGCTTGAGCTCGAGTTTGGCTTGTTTATTAATATTGATAGTCAGCTTGAGTCTTAAGGAATCAAAATCAATTTTAACATGATAAACTATAGAATATTATATAAAAATCATTTTACAACTCTTATCGAGCCGAGTCGAGCTCAACTGGTAACCCAACGAGATTTAAATGAAAACCTCAGCTCATTTATTAAATGAGTTGAATCTGAGTCTTAACGAGCCGAAACAAACATACGGCTTTAAATACAATCAATTAAAGTGGTGAGTAGCCGACAAGATGCCGAGTGACTGAATGATTGAGTGCTGATGTGGCGCGCTGCGCACCAGCTGTCCCACGTGTCCCCCTACCCCCAAACTCCCCTGATTAACACAATAATGATAATAATTGTTGAGTAAATTTTTGGGTATTGGTAACCGAGTTACCCGGCCTCGGGTCGTTCTCAAAGGAAGGCTCTTCGGAGCTTCGTTCACTACCTAGTCGTCTAAGTCACACAACCGAAAAGGTCCTAAACAT